AAAAAAAAAACAAAAAACAAAAAAAACTTCCTCTCAATTGACCTCTCTCTGTTGCACACACCATGGAATGTCTGCTTCGCCGATCATTCATTGTCGTCATCCTCAGGTGAATCTTCTTTCTCTTCTCAACGATGCCCCCCTCTAAGCTGCCGTCACCTCTTCCCACTCGCTTATCTTTCCTCGTCGCTTCGGCATCGATTGCTGGCCTCCTTCCCGGTCTCAGTGTAGCCTCGTCTCATCTACCCCCTGTCACCTCTTCACCACTTGCGGTCTCCCTTCTATCTCGCTTCCCACAATGAGCAGCTTATGAATAGAAAGTCTCCACCTGAGAGCACCGCCTCCATTGCTTCTCCTGTTCTTCTATCATGATTTTCTTTTTCCGTATGCTATATCCCAGTTTTGTCCTTGCCCTCTCCTGCCCCTGATCTATCCCAGTTTTTTGTCCTTGCCCTCTCCTGCCCCTGATCTATCCCAGTTTTTTGTCCTTGCCCTCTCCTGCCCCTGATCTATCCCAGTTTTGTCCTTGCCCTCTCCTGGCCCTGACCAATCCCAGTTTTGTCCTTGCCCTTTCCTGCCCCTCTATCCCTCCCCAGTTTTGTCCTTGCCCTCTCCTGCTCCATAGGGACTATGAGGAGAAGAAAAGTCCTTTGATAGGGATCATGGTGCAAATCATGGTCTGTACCACCCCAGTTTTGTCCTTCTTGCCCTCTCCTGCCCCTGATCTTTCCGTCTCGCTTTGCGAAGCAGATGTAATTCATCCTTAGCCGATCATTTTCCTCTTTCCAGCTCTTTGGCTCCCCCAATCTTTGCCCGTTCCTTAACCTCTATGACTTTACCGGCTGGTCTCCTTTTCTCAACCTTACCCCCTCCCCGTTCCTTAACCTCTATGACTTTACCAGCTGGTCTCCTTTTCTCAACCTTACCCCCTCCCTCCCCCTTCTCCTCCTCCCTCCCCCTTCTCCTCCTCCACCCTAGCCCTCAAAGGTGTATGAATATTGCATGACGGAATCCATGTTCCAATGGTTGGGGGAGATGGGGTCCATTGCTTAGACTTTGAAACTTGGGGTAAACTTGCATTTTGCATCATCACTTCAGGTACTGTACTGGGGGCGTCCGCTGCGAGAGGGCATCAGCCTACCTTCGCTCAAAAGGAAAAGACTTTCAGGATGTTGTTCAGGTCAGTACTCTTTTCTTTTCTTTTTTTTCCTTTTTCTGTTTGTTTGTTTGTTTGTTTGTTTGTTTTTTAATTTAAATAAGGTCTGTTTTGCGCCTTTTTTTTTTTCTTTTTTTTTTTTTAACTCTAATAAGGTCTGTTTTGCGCCAAGTGTTCACAATTGGAAGGGTGTTTTTCACTGTTTACACTTTTTAAGTTTTTTGTACTTTTTAGTATTTACCATCTCTGATTGGCTTCTCGCATCTGATCGGGAACCAATGTTGAGCGCATAGGTGATACAACTACTTTATACTATAAACCCAAAGACGAGTGGAGCTTTCGGAAAAGAGATTTGGCCCACTTGACGTTAGCATTGTGCTACAGCCTACAAGTGGATTCATTTTATTTTATTACAAATAAAAGGTACCCAAATGTTGTTCCAAATGTCATTCCACGAGGAACGACATTTGGAGGAACGACATTTGGGCAACTTTGTTTAAATTTTAAAATAAAATTATTGGCAAGTGGGATTATTCTGCCACCCGCGACAACGATGTCGCATGCTGAGCGCGTCAGCTCTGCTATTCGAAACGAATGATGGAGCCCTCCTGGCCACGTCGCGCAGGGAATCAAAAGAAAGTCTAAAAGCTAGACTCCGTGATTCGAAAGGAAAACAGTCCCCTTCGCATAGAGAGGTAGACTGAAGTCCAAAAGGGGCTCACCGCTCTAGCCGGCTCTAGCAGCTGTACTCTCGCCATTCCCTACAATAGGATAGAGTAGAGGAAGCACAACTTTCCTTCCCTATAAGTAGACTGGTGAACCCATTTCAAATTTGTCTACCTCTCGATGCGAAGGGGATTGTTTGTGGTGCCTTTGTTTGTTTTAATGCATGCATCGTGCGGCTCAGAAGGGATGCACACCTCGCGATGGATTACACATCGGCTCAATCCATCGCTACTTTCATCCCTACCGAGCCACTGACCCCACACACTAGTTGAGCTCATGACGTCAGTTTTCAGTGACTCCATCTCTACTTTCAGATGGTTGAGCCTATGACGTCAGTTTTGAACCTTTCATCTTTACTCACCTTTTTTCGTTCGTTTGTTCGTTCGTTCGTTTGTTTGTTTGTTACGTTTGTTCGTTCGTTCGTTTGTTTGTTTGTTTGTTTGTTTGTTTGTGTATCCATTGTTGGTTACCTTGTAGTGTGGTACTACATGGTACCGTGTGGTACTACACGGTACCACCATTGTTGTCGGTGGGACCAATTTTTGTTTTTTTAACTTTTTTAAAGTTTCTTTTTGTTTTTCGATTTATTTATCATTGAAATGATGGAATCTTTATTCAGTCTGTTTCCGCCGGCCCCTTTTTTTTTCTTTTTTTTTGGGGGGGGACCATTTCTCAATTTATGTGTGTAATCCTTGTGCAGGGGTCGTGCTAATGTTCTCTGTACCGTTCCAATTTTCCAAAAAGGACGACTGCTCCTTGTTTCTCGTCTTATGAGGAACAGAAACAGTCTGCATTTATATTGATTTCTTCCTTCTTTTTTTTTTTCCCTCTGGTATTTTGGCTTGTTTCCCTGTTAGTTGATAAGTCCTCCTTGGGAGACTAAGAGCGCATTCATACCAGGACTTTCTATAGTGAATCTAGCCACAATGGGGGTCGTATGCATCCAGGAAATTCCCAGTGTGAGTATGTCCCAACACATGCAACCAATCAAACATGTTAGAAAAGCTGGTGTCCCAACACACATGCAACAGTGTGAGTATGTCCCAACACACATGCAACCAATAAAACATGTTAGAAAAGCTGGTGTCCCAACACACATGCAACCAATAAAAGTTATCAAACATCTTCGGAATGGTAGTGGGGCAATGGGGAAAATTCTCTGTTGAGTGGGCCTGCCTACAGTTGCAGCAGCCTGCTTCACCACAGAAACACACTTCCAATTGTGGTGCCATCGTGAATTCGTTTGGTGCCATCGTGAATTCTTTCCTGGCAGCGATAAGGAAATCAAAAACAAAAAGAAATCTCACATCAGGACTTCTCAGTTTGGACTGACATGGTTCTACAATGTACAGTCCACTTCGGCGAACTTGTGGTGGTGCCGGGGGGGGTGGGGATGTGGGGATGGGGGTGGGGGGGGGGGGGGGGGGGGGGGGGGGGGGGGGGGGGGGGGGGGGGATGGGGGTGGGCATGGGGGCGAGGGTGGTCGTGGGGGCAAGGGTGGTCGTTGTCGTTTCCTTGGGTTCATAATGTTTTGATCGACAGCTGCGCGGGGGAATACATCGATACCTGGAATCATTTCCAGATGGAAAATTCTTCAGCGGAAAGAATTTCGTTTTTGATCACAGGTACGGGGTCTTATCGTCTTGTGACCGAAAATATATTGTCGCATATCTACCAACTAAAAGAGCGCACTTTCTGAAACAGACGATATAAATACACCAGACAAACATGAGGAGCACAGTGAAACCATTCTTTTAAATATTTTTATCATTTCTTCTTTAAGCTCCCCCTTAACTGTGCTTTGCGCGTAACAAGGCTTGCCGCATTGATGAAGTTCAGAGCAAGCTGCCTGCATCCCCGTTTACGCTGTGAAAACGAAGCAGAGCAAAGGGGTTGGGATAAACACAGAGAAGATATGGAAAAGAAGACAGTGCAAAGGAAGACAAAGGCAAAGCAAAGGAGAACAACCGGGAATAAGGGGAAAGTAAGGAGTGTGGAATGAAGATGACGGCAAAGGAGGGGATAAGAAAAGGTTCAAGAATGAGTCTGTCCCCCTTGACGACAGAGAGGACATACATTGTAACGATGAGGCGGATGAACAGATGGAAGACATAGTTAAGCATTCTCAGTACAACAATCGCCACAACGTCTGGGCCGTCTGGCATTGAGCATGCCCACCACACATTCCCAACAAATGGCATGTCGATTGCAGGCCAACGCAAAGGAAAGAACGGGCACCACAAAAGACTATACAATACTCTTTTTTGAAGTCTTTTGTATCATGGCGGGTTCGTGATGATTTGTGGATTGACTGAGAGATAAGAGTTTGGGTTTTTTCTACACACACACACACACACACACACACACACACACACACACACACACACATACACACACACACACACACACAAATACACACACAAGGTAAAGAAACAAGAAAAGGAAAAAAGGAAGAATCAGGATGATCCACAGTTGTATTGCTTCAACAACCACAAGAGGGTCAGTCACAGCTGGCAATGAAGTTAACGCAGGTAATGCCATCATCACAATCACAGCGATTCAGTCAACATGGGCTTGAAACCAGGTTCCAATCTGAGGAATGAAGCTTGTGATTTGACCTGATTTCAGATTTTGACATTGTGTAAAAAGTCTGCAAGGTGGCAACGCCGACAAGTAGCATTTGAGGGAGAGGTGGTCCCATCAATTCTCAGATGCAGAGAGAGGTGAGAGAGTGCATGAGGCATTGAAGGTCCCATCATTTTCAATCAGTATGGCAAGTAGCTCGAGATCAAGAACCCATATATAAAATAAAGTCTAACATCAGAGAGTACTATACTGCTAGACTGTGAAATCAGAGAGTACTATACTGCTAGACATAAGTCTGGTTCATTGCTAGAAGCCCAGAAACATAAGAAGACTTGTTGATTGCCCGCCAAACGTGACAAAGCTCATTCTCCTTTTCTTTTATCTTATTTTTCTTTCTTTTATTATTTTTCAGATTTTTTCTTATTTTAAGTTATTTTTATTTTTTCTTTCTTCTTTTTTTTTTTTTCATATCGTTGGTCTGAACACAATGCTCCCCATGTTTTTTCGACTTCTCTTTTTGTTTTTTATTTATTTGTTTAATTAAATCAATTATTTATTTTTTGCCCTGGGGGGTGGGGTGGGGGCGGGGGGGCAGTGGTTGGCGATGGAGAGGGAGGGGGGGGGGGGGAAGATCCCTATGGCTGTCTAGTGAACGTACAGTAGACTAAGTCTAGTGAACCTGGTCAGACTAAGTCAAGTGAATGCACTAATGTCTAGTGAATCTGTTATTTAGTGAATGATTTGACACTTCGAACTTTGAAGTTTTGAAGTTCGAAATTTAAAGTTTAAACTCTTCTGGATGGGGAACATGTTGTGAGGATTGAGGGACACTGCCGCGTGGCATCTGGTCCATAACAGGTGATGTGCATCTTTGTTTGTCGGTCAAAGTCAACGTCCATGCGGAGTTTACCGATGAGATAGTCAGAGTCAGGTTATGAATTCTCTATGAAGTTTGAACCTGTGGTTTTCGTGGAAATCCTTCCATCAGGGTCTCTGTACCAAGTGCGCATCCCACGACAGTGATTGGAAGATGCTTGGAATGTCATTCGCCTTATGATGATTACAGTGCACGCTGTCGGTGCACAACTTGCCGACTGCTCATTCTCATATGCCCAGACTGCCAGGTAAGAGTAACTATTGCTTCTCTGTGTGTGTGTGTGTGTGTGTGTGTGTGTGTTGTG